AACCGTAAATACCGAGGGTTTCGGCAATTGCAGAAATCGTCAATTTGCAGACGCCGAAAACGCCGACGCCACCGATATAGTCGGCACATGAAGTGACGAAAACACTGTAAATACCGATGGAACCGGCATGTCGGTTTTGCGCTTTTACAGGGCGTCGGGGCCAACAACAACAACACCACCACCACCACCACCAGCAGCAGCAGCAGCACCGCCAGCACCACCACCGCCGCCGCCGCCAGCAGCAGCAGCAGCTGTAGCAACGACGTAAGCAGCAAAGACAGGCAAAGGAACAGTAATGGCAAGCTCTTGCCATGAAGTCTGGCAGCGACAGACCGACAGAGCATAGGCAGACAGGCACAGGCCATTATGCATGGACAGGTATTCACGAAGTTGACCACATTTGATATAGTTACGTGGCTGTCCTCCATTCATCTACACCTATCAGATTGTATGCTTGTGTATCTGAAGTCCATGCTCCGCCTTTGTCAAACGCGAAGCGCCTTCTGTCCAACCCTGGCCTCGGCTTGTTCGCTTTCGATGCTCAGGCCTTCAGCCACCACGGGCCTTGGCTCCGACCTGCAAGAAAAAGTGAATCAGTCGATGACCGTACTGGAGAACCGCTTGGGCCTGGAGGTGATGGCCTTTTGCTCCGGGTGCATCCTGCTTGCGAGCGCCTTCGCTCGGGCCTTGAAGGATGCAATCGTGCCCATGGCTTCCGTCAGCTGCGCTTTCCTGTAGAAACAACACTCGCATTTCTCTGAGCGATGCCTTGATTCCTGTACTTACTTTAAGTGCTGCACAGCTGCAATTGAGGTTCGGAGCGTTGGGCAAGATCGGAAGCGGTCTCAATGGTCTTCCCGCCCGGTGCAAAAGAGCTTGCTTCTATCCACTCCCGTGATCGGAACAACCACTCACGGACGCTGCCGATGGCGAAAGCGCACAGGTTTTCCTGACTCGAATGCACACTGAAACAAAGCGGAAGCTGTAAAGCCTGTGCTCATTCTCAATGAGTCACCGTACGACTCGCCACTTCACAGCTGTTCAGACAGATGACGGATTGCAGCGTAGCCCCATTGGATCTGCGCTGCAGCAGCTGCTTGCCACACAAAATCCGGTTCAGATCCTCCTGCACAGGGAACCGTCTGGGTGACTGAAAGCAAGGTCGTTGTGGCTTTCTCGGGATACGCCGATCAAGATAATGTGTCGGATCCTGCGTTCGCCAAAGGACTTTGACGGCCTCGGCACGCAAAGGCCTGAAGGAGCAGACTTTCATGCATCCGTTTGGGATTTGGTCCCACGACCCGGCCTGATGCGTTTGTGTCGGAGCAACTCATCCTTGAGCTTTCGAGCTTCCAGCACGAGCTGCTCGCCCATGAAGCGCGTGCGAAGCTTGTATCGCTCGTGGAATAGCTTTTCTTTCTCAGCATGAAGAGCAGCCTTTCACTCGGCGGCTTGAGGCCAGCGGCCAAAAGCACATTCAACATGGACGGATCAAATGCCGGCCTGGTGAGCTTGCTCTTTCCGCAGAATGTCTTCTTCCGCTTTCCGTTTAAGCTTGCTTTCGGCTTTATTTGCTTCCTGCCGCAGAGTTTCCAGCTCGTCCTGCCAGCAACCGTTGGCAGCCTGTGACCTGTGACTGTTTGGCTCTGAAGTTTGCACGGCCGCCTTGAAAGCTTCCTCCTGCTCTTGGATTGACCGTTCCTTTTGGTGCAGTGCCCTTTCCGATTCTGCTTTTTGCCTTACAATCATCGACAACAATCAGTCGACATGTGGCCAAGCGTCGGGGATCGTCATCATGACGGCTCAGACTGAAACCAATTCATCCAAAGATCTGAGCAAGCTCATCTTGCTCCTTTACTATAGTTGCAAAAGCTTCACGTTCTTTCTCGTCCTCAGTAACTTCTTGTCGGGGCTTCAAGAGTCAGCCTCCATGCCTTTTAAAAGCCGCACAAAGGCAATGCTTCTTTGCGTTGTGTGCTGTGCTCTCTGTCTTGCCTGTCTTTTCTTCTAGATGGGCTTCTTTACGTTGCATGGTCAAGTACGGGGCCAAGAAGCACATTCGCGCTCGGGAGTTTGATGGATCTACAGAGGCTGCCTGAGAAACTCAACGAGGTCACCTTTCCCCCGGGCGGTGTTGGTTCAAGAGCTTTGGGCCTTTGAGGCGCCCCTGGGGGGCTTTCCGAAATGCGAGGAAGGCACCATCCCCGCGAAGACATCTGCCAAACCCCCATCGATTCCTTGCCAGATCTGTGAACTGCTGGGATTTGTTTCATGGGCTCAGAAATGAGAAGGGGTCCTTCTGGCATGCTCCTGCTACTCGCTGCGGGTACCACTGGCACGGCTCCCACATGCATAGTTAAGTCCGCTTCGCCGGCTGGCACACCTCCGATTCACTGCAGGTCGCTCCTACACGAAGAATGCCAGGCTCTTTCAATTTCAATGCATCCCAATGCCCCCTCAGAAGAAGCAGCATCGTACAACTTCTACAAACGATCACACAGTCTTGGCGGATGATGCCTTGTGGGCTGGGACGCTGTCGCAGCGACAGTGGCACCGCATCAGATAGGATGTCAACAGGCGTCTGTGTCTCGACACTGATGGCGGGTGCGACGGGTTCCTGCAAATTTTTTGGCGGATAATTAGTGCCGTTAGCTGCGCCGCTGTCCTAACATCACCAAGCTCCCGACACTACTTTCACGTCCCGGGAGATCTTGAACAACAGGTGCAGGCTGTGGCATGTCGTCTCGCCAAGCATCCACCTGGGGCATCTCAGAGGCACGTACATACTGCAGCCTGTCGTCTGGAAGTATTGCCTCTGCATCTGTCGGAACATCTTCGGGTCGCAGACTGGACATCCCAGACGGACTTGGCCAATACTGTAGCTTCACTTCCCGCAGGACCTGCACCTCGGCACTCGTACAGTTGCGAACCGGGAGGCAATCCGCAACCTCGCCTGCAGCTTCAAGGGGCTGTCCCGAAGAGATGTCAGCCGGGACAGGGCAGCTTGGGCCTGGCAAACGAAGCCCGACCTCTCTGCTCGCTATCCAACAGCTCACAGCCTTCCTCTCCACGAGCTCAGGCTCTGTGCTAGGAGCACGGATTGCGTCGTCAAGCTGTCGCAAGCTGTCCTCATAAAAACAGAGCCTATCACCACCTGGCAGGCTGATTCGACGGGCCTCCAGTGCTCTCCATTTTTGACGGTGAACTTCCACCATTTGCCTCGAAGTCATGTGCAAGCACGGAATCGAATGATGACAGCACTGCCTAACGGACAAACTCAGGCCAAGAATCTACTTATATCCAATTGCAGATCAAGCCGCCGCCGGTCTGCTACAGGCCACGTATACGACTCACGGAGCTTGCTTTCGAACTCGCTCCGCAAAGCTTCACGTCCCGTGCGCAGCCAATCGGCTAGAAACTGCAGCAATTCCTCGCATGGAAGGTGTGCCAAGCACCGGTGCGAATTCCATGTACGGAGCATGTCCTCGCAGGTTGACGGCCTCTTCGACAGGGAGTTTGCGCCTGCGCGATTGCATTGGTGAGCAGGCCGGCTTAATTTAACGCTGCCCGAACCTGTCGCAACTGCAACAGGCGGTGCTTCATTCGTTGCTTGCTGCACGGCTTGCTCGAGGAGCTTACGCCGAGACTCGTGAAGAGGCCTTAGATGCACTGCACATACAACATCGTGCAATGGAAACAGTGGCAAACCCGGCAGCAGTGCCTTCCAAAAAATTGAGCACCGCACGACGGCAAAGAATCTGAGGACGCGTGGCTGGTGAACCACACCTCTGCGATCGCAGGATGCAGCGACCGCACGCCATACGTGTCCACAGCCTGATTGCACAGGGGGTTTTGCACCATCTGCTCAACATGACATGGCTGATTTGGATCACGCCTCGTGGAGCGGTGGCAAGAAATCGTATGGCCGCTGCACATCAGCACGTGACATGCTCCATCAACAAGGTATGGATTTGTGCTGTGCACTTCTGAGTTGTTTGCTGCTGTGCTGGGTTTAACTGGCAACGTATGCGGCTGCAGCTGCCTCATGACGCAACTTCCGCCAACATCCGGCAGCCTATGTTTGTGTGGCGAAGTACCACTCAGGCAACGTTCAACATCACTGACAAAGTGACAGGTGCTTCTCACATTAAAACCGCCCAGTAACCGCAATGCTGGTGCCGGAAATGTAAACATGGTCACATTAACATGCACGTCGCCCATGCCTGGAACAACTGAATGCAGTCACAGGAAGCCCCCGCGGCCCCCGCGTACGATTCGGTAAGTTGGTGTTCGCTCCTGCCCAAAGCTGCCGAATCCACGAACCCGAACTACGGGGCGTCGCTGAAGGGTTGTACAGCACGATATTTTGCAGCACTTGTTGAACCGACTTTGTCCATCAAAGTGGATTGCTGGCATCATCACGATGTCAGCCAAGCTGCTGTCGGGTTTGATGAAATGCCGCTGTTGCAGAATGCATTCGGCTGCAGGTACCTATGATACATGAGCCGCTGCGTTTATTCAAAGCTTCGGCTACTTACACTGTCTCTCGCTTTTTGTTCCCACCACCTACAATTGCAACGCGGGCGCGCGCAGGGCCAGGGCGTCGAGGGATGCACGCGGCCGGCTTGCGCGGGGGCAAGCGGCTGGCGAGGACATCCTCCTGCCACCGA